TGCTGGGAACCCCCCAGCAGCCACTCTCTGCTTCTGCCCACTGCAACTCCTCACAAGGTGGGACCACTGCTGAAATGCTCAGATCTTCACCATGTACAAGTCCTTTGAGGAAATGAAGATATTTTAACTCATCCACCTCCTAACATCGCACTGGATCTATAGCCCTCAGGGATAATGAACTCTCAAAGTACCTGCGCCAATAATATCACTTTCATTCCCTGTCTGGGAGTTCCCCAGCAAGGCTGTGCAGCACATTCGGAAGGCCAAGGCATTCAGTCTTTGCCCTCAGAGAGCCGGCAGGGCCAGCCCACTGGCGGTGACAAAAAAAGAAAAGAGCAGACAATGTTACCTATCTCTTCCAAACAAGAAGCAAGAAATACACAACCCTGGCTCGGCGCCTGTGGCTCAAGCGGCTAAGGCGCCAGCCCCATACACCAAAGGTGGCGGGTTCGAATCCCCAGCCCGGGCCCGCCAAACAACAATGATGGCTGCAACCAAAAAATGGCCAGGTGTTGTGGCAGGCGCCTGTAGTCCCAGCTACTTGGGAGGCTGAGGCAGGAGACTCGCTTGAGCCCAGGAGTTGGAGGTTGCTGTGAGCGTGATGCCATGGCACTCTACCCAGGGGGATAGCTTGAGGCTCCGTCTCAAAAAAAAAAAAGAAATACACAACCCTGTAGCAGCCTGTATAGCCTAAGGCTAGGAGGAGTGACAGTTATGAGAAATACCTGAATAGCTCAATAATGGAACACCTTGGTGAAAAGGGCATGGAGAGGGATTTAGCTCTAACAAGCATAAGAGCTCGGGAGATGAGAGCATTGGTGAATTGGCAGTCTCTACACCTGTGGTGTTGAGAAGCATGAGATCAGCCTTATATTAGGCTGGAGGAGAAGGCAGTTGAGAGCAAGGAGGTTCTATCACAGACCCGCTTACTCTGCCTCTGTCTCCTCTCCTGCCTACAGAACACCAGCACAGTGTCTCTCTGCTAAAGACTAAGATCTATCTTTCTAAGAAGACTGCTTTACTCTCTCTAAGACTCTGTCTCTCTCCTGCTAAAATAGATAGCTCTCAGGCCTCCAAGAGCAATTTTTCCTCAGCAAGGGAGCTTAGAGATCCCTGTCTGGAACCTAGTTAAGCTAGGCCCAAGACCTGGCCAGTCCTGGGCCCTGATACAACCCCATTAAAAAGGGCACAAGAGATGGGAACAGAAAATTTTTAAAAGATGATAGACTAATGACTGACAAACATGAAAAATTTTCAATGTCACTAATCATCTGGGAAAAGCAAATTAAAGCACAGTGAGATGCCACCTGACCCCTGTCAGAATAGCCATTATTAAATAGTCAAAAACCACAGGTGCTGGCATGGGTGCAGAGAAAGCACCATTCACGCACTGTTGGAGGTGCCATGAAGTAGCACTTCCATAAGAACCAGTGTGAATTTGTCTCAAAGAAATAATAGCAGACCAATAACTTGACGAGCAGTACCACTAGTGGGTGTCTACCCAAAGGAAAAGAAGTTGTTTTATCAAAAAGATAGCTGCATTCAAATGTTTATCACTGCACAACTCACAATTACAAAGATGGGCTCAAGTCAGTGCCCACTGACTCATAAGCAGGTGAAGAAACACAGTGTTTACACACCAGGGAGCACTGCTCAGCCGTAAGGAGCAGGATGACGGCCTCTGCAGCAACTGGAGACCATTATCCTAAGTGAAGTGTCACAGGAACCACACATTCTTTCTAATAACTGAGAGCTAAACAATGGCACAAAGAGACATAAAGGATGTTAGAACACAAGACGAGGGGGACACAATTTGCCCCTGGGCACAATGAGCTCTATTCCTGTAACCAGCAGGGGACAACCCCAATTGCTGCTTCACACAAGTATCTGTATAATGAAGACATGTTACAACCCCCCAGTACTCTGACATTAAGAAAAAGAATCTAGGTATAAAAAACATATTAAAAAAGAAAAAGCAGCAGATATAGCTCATATGCTGGGCTTAAGAGAAGAACAGGAGGAAAAAAAGACATGAAATAAAAAAGGTTTTTAAAATTAAATTACTGAACTTACTACCCAGAAACGTGTTCCACAGTTAGTATTCGTCATCCCAGAGGCCCGTCGTGTGTGCACATGTGTGACATATTAAAGATGGAAGAGTAACAGGAGAAAACAAATGATTACATGACCCTGAGAGCGCCGTGGCCAACAAAGGAGTAAACCATAAAAAGAATTAAAACCACAGTTTGTTCACAAAAATGAAAACATATCATATCTAATTATAATCACTAAATAACATTTTTAGAAATTCTATAAATTGTTGGCTCAGCACCTGTGGCTCAAGTGGTAAGGCGCCAGCCACATACACCTAAGGTGGTGGGTTCGAATCCAGCCCGGGCCCACCAAACAACAATGACCTGCAACCAAAAAAATAGCCAGGCGTTGTGGCAGGCGCCAGTGGTCCCAGCTACTTGGGAGGCAGAGGCAGGAGACTCCTTTGAGCCCAGGAGTTGGAGGTTGCTGTAAACTGTGATGCCACAGCACTCTACCCAGGGGAATAATTTGAGGCTCTGTCTAAAAAAAAAGAAAAAAAATTCTCCTATAAATTGTTAATGCTCATTCATTTGTGAACATGTATACACATCACGCATCATCTGCAGCTCCCTGAGGGATCCCCTGAAGGCTCCCTCCCACATATGTCTCTAAGTAGGGATCTAAGTATTTATTTGGGATAATTCCTACTTGTGGACTCTAGCAGGGTTAAAAGCAAGGTGCTTTCTCCGGAAGATCAACAATCCGTGTGTGTGTGTTTCTATGTATTCTGATTGGCCTTGAGTTACGCTGGGCCAGCGTCCACTCTTAGAGCAGGGGTGGGAGTGTCCATTCTCCACATTACTTAACAAACCAAGTGATGTAACCAAATCATTTGTACCCATAAATTAATATGAAATAAAATGAGAAAGAAAATCTCAAAAAGAGATTTTTACCATTCTCCTAGGTACAAAATACGTTGAAATCTTATTTTTTTTACATGTATATTTTTAGTGAGAGTGACATTTTTAAACATCTTTATTGATAAGTGGTATTTCTTACTTTCTTAGTTACTGCCTTGGCCTTAACTAAATCTTTCTATTAGTAGTTTCATATTTTTCCTATTGAATTATAAAAATTCTTCATTTCTGAAGGCTACTAAATTCTTTGCTTGTTACAGTATATGGCATGAATTTGTTTCCTAAATTAGATATTTGCATTTTACTTTGTATTTTTTGGAATAAGAAAATTTAAAAAATTCACATAGCCAAGTCCATCAAAATGCTGCTTTATAGTTTACTGCTGTGATATCACACAGCTCTCTTTAGGATTATATGCTCATATTTATTTTCTCCTACTTTTATATATATATATATTTTTTTGCTGTTTTTGGCTGGGGCGGGTTTGAACCTGCCACCTCCGGCATATGGGGAAAGCACCCTACTCCTTTGAGCCACAGGAGCCGCCAGCTTTTACATTTTTAATATTTACATTTCCATGTACCGTACCTTTAAAGACCAAAATTAAAATTTTAAATTTTGCAGAAAATACATACAATGTAGAGTGTCCATAGAGTTTGTGCACAATTTAAAGTTCATGTACAACTTAAAATAGTTGCCTATTTTACATTGCACACGAACTTTACAGACACTCTGAATATAAACTCAAAGTGATCACTCAAAATGGGTTTATTGTAAAGTACATTTTTATTTTAAATTTGGAGAGGAATCTTATTGGAAAAGATATTTCCAACAGTTCTTTTCACTTCCAAAGATTGAGTATTCATTATCAAATAACATGAAAATCTTGTTGGTTTTTTGAGCTCACAGTAACCCCTTCTGGTCGCCACCTGCATTCACTGTGTGTGCTGTCTTCCCCCAACTGTAACACTGAGCACATTACAAGAGTAATTTCCACCCATGCTGAGTTCTCTGGGAATTACCCACAAAACAGTCATCCCTAGAGCCAAAGGTTAGCACAGTTCTTGGCATATTTCAGGTGCTGGGCAATTCAGTGAATTTTGTGTATCTAGAGAATGAGCAAGACATAAGTAGTTAAAAGCGTATTTTTGGAGCCATTAACCCAACTGCGCCCTGTGGGGTGAGGAGCAGGGGAGAGGGGAGCAGGTGAGGTGGGAGGCTGCTGCCATGCCCAGGCCCTGCTGGAGTGAGTGGCCTGTGCAAGAACCAACCACAAACAGAGGAAGATCCAGCTCAACGGCCCTGATGTCCCACTGAACAGCAAAGCTCCCACGGATGACATCAGGAGGGTGGAAAGAAGGCAGTCTGAGCCTTACACTGACAGGGGAGGTGGGGTGGCGTCAGACACACTGAGGGGAGCTGTCCTGCACATTGTCAAAGAGCCAGGACTTGGGCACGTGGCTAAGTGAAGCAGGGGAAGAGGAAGGGAGAGTAGCATCTGCAGAGCACCTGCTTGGTATCCGACATGGTAGTAGGTGCTGGAATTCATGTTTCAGAGCCGTTCACACATTCCTGGTGGCCAGGATAAAGAACCCAAAGCTTTGTCAGGTCCCAGCCACAACCCTGCCAGCTATCAGACCTCAGCAGTTTAAATGTCCTCTTTGCAAAACTTTTGTTTTGTCAACTAAGAAATGAGGACTATTAATAAACCCATCTCAAAGAATCAGAATATATGGTATAAGTCATAAAAGTAAAATGCACTAAAATAAAAATGCAATAAAAGGTTGTCAATTAGTGAGAAAAACAACAAAATAGAATGGAACAACTGGTGTGAGGATGGTCTGTATTAAGGGACAGAAGAAAGATTCAGAGACACTAGAACGATGGACAGGAATTTAAGGAAATATGAGAAAACCTTGAAAACAAAGTATTATGGAAATCATGAGAGTTGAGGGTTTCAAAGGAGACTTAGCCATGAAGCTAGAAAAATGAACTATTCAGGCCTGATTGTTCTCCATGGACATAAAGCAAAATCAGACAGCTACGTACCCACAGCTGATCATCCATGCCTGGAGGGTTCTTTTTGATAAAAGCACCATAGTATGTAGCAATATTCCGGTGATGGGAATATTTCTTCAACATGTTAATTTCTTGTTTGATTTCTTCCTCTTCATCCTGTGTTAGAACAGTAAATATTCTGTCATGAAAATCCATTGTCTTAAGTAACATTCTGTTCTTGAACATCACGTATATCAACTAAGGTTTCCCTTCTATGGTGACAAACTAGCATAATTTTTATATCTGTTGCCAAGGACAAGTTTAAAAGACAACACAGTGGCAGTCCAAGGGTCTTCTATTTGCATAGCAAGCAGACATCACATGCAACTTGTGGAAAATAAACAGACAAAGGAAAGCCCCAATAGCCCCTCATCTCTTCACCTGGAGGAGATAAATATAGACAGGCTATTGAGATAAAATTCACCCTAGGCCGCGGGAACTATTAAATAATCCATTGAGCACCTGTCACTGATCCTATCTGGAGTACAAAAGATTGAGGAAAGTGAAAAGAGAAAAACATAGGCTCTCAACTTCAATTTCATGAAGCTCATTTTTTACTGAGTGGCTGACTGAATGAAAGTGATGAACGTCAGGTGGGAAGGGAGCAAAGGCCAGTTCTCTGGCTCAGAGGACGGTCCAGAGCAGCAGCAGCAGCAGCACTGCTCCACCAGGAAACTGAACATGAACAGGAGGGAGCTGTGCACAGTCCGAGGATGTGAACAGGAGGGAGCTGTGCGCAGTCCGAGGGTGCAGTAGGGGCTCTGCCGCTCAGGTCCCCACTCCAAGTTTTGAGCTGGGGTCCACCAATCTGGGCTTCCAGAGGTCCTGGCATTCCTGGGAAAACTGAGGGTATATGTCCTCCCATAATTTTATTTTACTGACATGTACACATCACTCGGACTGAAAATAGTGTTTTGTTTTTGAGACTGGTAGAACAACTTCCTACCCAAGGATAACTGATTTGGAAGCAGCAGCTAGCAATGGCCATGTGCCAGGACGTATATCCCAAGTCCCCCAAGAGTGTCCCCTGCATGTGTATCCCATGTCCCCTGCATGTGGATCCTGAGTCCCCTAAGTGTGTCCCCTGTGTATGTTCCGTGTCCCTTGCATGTATCCCCAGAGTGTCCTTAGCATGTTCCCTGAATGTGTCCCCTGTGTGCCCCGTGTCTGCAGCATGTATCCTAAGTGCCCAGAGTGTGTCCCCCAAGTGTGTGCCAAGCGTGTCTCCTGCTTGTGTGAAGTGTATCCCATGTGTATCTTGTGTCCCCTGTGTGTATCCCATGACCCCTGCATGTGTGCCCTGAGAGTGTTGCCTGCGTGTGTCCCCTAAACATGTCCCCTGCAGCTGCACAGCCTCCACCCAGCTTTCTGCACTTCTGGACCCTCTACAGGCTCTGCGCCCTGTTGTCTTCTCTCTTCTTCACATTATTTTTACACATCATTATGGTTGAGTTTAACTGACCCTGCCAGGGGAAGTCCCTCTTAATTCTCTCAGGCAGCGTCAAGGCCCTACTGTGTCTCAGCCCCTACACTCCTTACCACACTTGCCGTATTTGCTGATGCTGGCATGGAGGTGCGTATCCTACAAACAGCCCCATCATGCAACTCTCTCTTCTGCAGACCATCAGCCCTCCTCTGCCTTTGGATCTCAGTACCAGTGCTCTTTCCCGGCAGAACCCCTGACCTGCCAGGCCAGATCCTAGCTCCAACCCTGGCGCACCTTTGTAGCACCCATCAGAATCACCAGCCACATCCATCACTGGATTAAGATCTCTTCTCATCAGCCCTTAACGACTGAGAGCAAAGGTAGCCTGCTTGCTTTTGTGCCCTACAACGTCCCCAGCACCAAGCAGAGTACCTGTGGATAGACACAGATAAACCCGCCTGGCTCAGCACCCAGAGCAGGTGGGTGACACCATCATGGAAGGGGTAGGTAGGAGCAGGGCAAGGAGAGAGGTGAGAGGGCATTTGCCTACCACACATATTTATTAAAGTCAGTTTTAGTAAAAGGCACAGACTTCCAGACCTAGAAGAAGTGAAGTATGATATGGATCATGTGGCTTAACTCAACTGAACATGAGGTCATCTCCAAGTAGAACGGGGCTCAGAGCTGAGCTCAGGAAAGGTGCATGTGCTGAGGGGTGGGGTCAGCAGGACGGCTGCAGTGGGCAGCAGCTAACCACCTGTACCCTGCAGCCCCAGAAGGTGGCCAGGCTGTCACTGCGCAGGCCTAAGGGTGAGACCTCAGCTGGGGACAGCCCCTGTCACACATCTCACGGCCTCACTACTGCACGTCAGCTGCTCAGACTCACCCGTGTGTGGGGACCAGTGCTTGGGGATGAGTGAGGGTATGAGTGACCTACTTTGGGGAAGCTACATTGCAGGGCACAAAGCAGCCGGAGGGCTTCTGTGGCAGCACAGTGCTGACGGCTTCCATGACGCCAGGAAGCTGTGTGAGGTGACACTGGACACAGGTCACTGGGCAGCTGTAGCTCCTGCCCTTCCTCACCTTGCTGGATGCGCTGCTCCCTGCAGTGTCCACTGCCAGGGCTCTCTGGGGAGGGGGGTGCTGGGTGTGATGATAGATTAGAGGGCTGAGGCAATGCTCACCATGTCATCAAGAAAATAAGAACTTATGAAACTACATCAGGGCTACGGTTCATCCAGACTTGTAGTCTGTGGCAGTAAGGGCAGTAAGTCAGTGAGTGAGACAGAAAGGGAGGCCTCTGCTAGTGACAAGGGCCCATGCAGCCACAAACAGTCCCAGCTACGCCCGCTATGGCCCAGTGAGGGAGATGAGTTATGTTGCTTTCCCAAAGACAAAAAACCGAGGCCTAAATTAGACTAAAACTCTGTTAGAGAAGGAGGTCCTCTATTCAGTAAATGTAAAACACTGTAAGAGAAGGACGTCCTCTATTCAGTAAATATATTACTCCTGTGTCTTTGGCATCAAGCACAGGGGTCAAGCTCACCAAGAAACTATTGACCACTAGGACCCATCTAACTCCAGTAAGATTAGTCCACATCACAAAATCCCCAAATTGCAGATGTTGGAGTGCATATGGAAAGAAGGGAACAATTCTACACTGCTGGTGGGATGGAAAGCTAATACCTTCTTTTTGGAAAGAAATTTGGAGAATACTCAAGTAACTATAAGTAGACCTGCCATTCGATCATGCAATTCCTCTACTAGGTTTATACCCAGATAATCAAAAATCATTTTACAACAAAGATATTTGCACCAAAGTATTTATTCCAGCCCAATTCATAATTGCCAAGTTAGAGAAGCAGCCCAAATGCCCATAAACCCATGAATGGATTAACAAATTGTGGTATATGCATACTGTGGAATATGTATACTATGGGATACTATGCAGCCATAAAAAGATGGAAACTTCACATCTTTTATGTTTACCTGGCTGGAGATGGAACATACTCTTCTTAGTAAAATATCTCAAGAATGGAAGAAAAAGTATCCAATGAATTCCATATCATTCTGAAACCAATATAGAATCACCTACACTTTCATACAAATGATAAAACACAACTATCATTGTGTTAAAAAGAAGGAGGGGAGAGCAAGGGAAAGGAGAGGGGAGGCCGGGAGGAGGGAGGGTATTTGAGGGACCTCACCTGTTGTGCACAATGCAAGGGTACATGTCAAAACTATTAAGTGTAGAGTATAAATGTCTTAACACAACAAATAAGTGAGGTGAAGGTTATGTTAGCAAGTTTAATGTAAGCATTCCAAATTGTATATCAAATCAGTACATTGTACCCCATAAATGCATTAATGTACACAGTTGTGATTTAATTAAAAAAAAAGTAGTAGTACAAAATTGTTACAAATTTAAAAAGAGACATGTTCATAAACCAAGTCCACTACTCCAGGAAGAATCATTACTTAATCGGAAGACTTCAAATCTGGTCTCATTCATTATCTTCAAGGGTAGCATTTAAACTTTCTGAATGTCAGCTATTTTCAACTTAAACTGGGAATACAAATAACTAAGCCACTTCTTAGGGCTCAGAAATGATTGTTTACTTAAATATGACTTCAGTATCAACATAAAGAAAATGATTTTTTTCTCTCAAGATCATGAGAATCTATCTGTTGCTTAGTTAGTATAGCAGACTAAAAACAATGGCCACAAAGTTTGGAATACTCAGATCACACAGCACAGTCCCTTCTCCCTCTCCTTATGGCTGGGCCTGGCCACACAACTCACTCTGGCCAAGAAGACATTAGCAAACAGACCCAGCAGAAACCTGGAACCTCCTTACGCCTGAGATTGGACTCTCCTGCTGCTTGTAGAGAAACCACCAGCCACATATGGGTAACCAGGGTTAGCCTTCTGGAAGATGAGACACCCTTAGAAAAGACAGTGGTTTTCAAATGCAAGGGACAAGATGATGGCAGGTGATGCTTTTAGCCACTGAGCACCTCTGATGGCAACACGATTGTCACCATCAGAGCCGGAATGCTCGGTGTGTGCCAGGCTCTGTGTGTGCACTGCCTTATCTGATACTGGAAACAGCTCAATGGAGGTATTAACAACCTCACTTTACAAGTGAGGAAAGTGAGTCTCAGAGAGAGTAAGCAGCTTCTTCAAACCCACCCATACTTTAAATATTACAGCCCAGATTCAAGCCCAGACTTGTCTGACTCCGAAGACTGTGCTCTTAATTCTACACACAAAACTCTCAGGCAGATGAAGGATGATTAGCCCCAGTGACTGAAACCAAAGCTGCTAATCAAGAGAGTTTAAGACCATCCTGAACCAGGGTGGAAGAGAATCCCTTCTTTAGCCCTCCAGTTAAGAGAGCTTGTTATTATACAATAATATTTGCTCATGATTGAATTCAAAGGATAAAGGGGAGATTTTAAGTTGCATATTTATTACATAGGGGAATACACTTTAAGCACCTACAATATGCTAGGATTTAAAAGTGGAATTAATAAAGCATTGCATATTAGCATGCTTTGTAATAAAGAGTTTGCCCAGCACTTATCCCTGAATCCAAGGAACAGGAATAGAGCTAAGTAAGACCTGCAACAATCCAAGTGACTGGTGGGGTGAAGTCTAGAGCTTCAGTTCTCAAACTTCCTAATGGTGGAGAACCGCTGGTCTAGAGGTACAGACACTTACTAATGCTGCCACCTCACAGGTATGTGGACCTGGCCAGAATCACCTCTGCTCCCTGAGCACCCGCTCTGCTGTCACAGCCAGAACACAGGTGTTTGTGCTAATTCACCCATCAGTCCCACCTTCAGAGTTGACTGAATGTCACAAAAAGTTGAAGATATTGTTTTATTGTTAAAAGATGATAGACTATGAGAATTTGAAGGGATCATCACAAATGTGGTGTAAAGAATTTTTAAAAATCATTTGTAGAAGTGAAATCCCTTTCTGCAATAGAAATTGTATTCAGGATGCCAATACACCTGTATAGTAGACAAAACCTAATTTTTTAAAATCAGTAAATATTTATTTTTATAAGTTTAACTATGTAATATTCTACTTAAGCAATTATTCAATGAAAATGAAGAGGATATTTTACTGAATATAGAATTTATGAGGAAATTAAAAATCATGTATCAATTTCAATATCTTAGTAATTTTCAGTTTTGTTTCCCTCCAAAGGATGCAGAAAACCTACATTTCCCAAGATAAGTAGTTTTGACTGAAAGGTTATTTTTAAAGAGTATGTGTTGAAATTTCAGTGGGCTCTTCATGATGGATGACAGCCTGCACATGAATGGGGCGACTGGACAGCAGAAAGGAGGACGCTGGCATTTTCCAGTGTTTTCAAAGTGGATGTATAATGAGCAGTTTGAGGTCTGATTTTTAGATTACAGTTCATTAAATGTTAAGATATATTAAAAATTGAATGAGAATTAAGCATGTGTAAATTCCCTAAAATTACTCAAGGCAAGGTTATGCATCTGTGATTTATGTCTGTACAGATCTAAGGAAACAGCATAGTAGGGGTCTGTGAGCCACCAACCCCACACCTCTTCACTGCAGCCTTAACAGCACCTGGACTTCGCAAGAAGGTTCTGCAGGCAGCACCTGGGTTTGTCATGAACATTAGCCCTAAGCTAAACGAATTCATTTGACAATTACTTATTAAATGCTAACAGTGTAATCATAAAACAGCTCTGAAACTGGGAAGGACAGAGGCATTATATCCAGTTCTCTCTGTGGCTATTTTCTATATTTAAAAAAGTGCTACAAATAAAAACAATAATTTAACATTTGATTTCAAGCTTACAACTTTATCAGTTTCATTACAATAAACTACAGTAACTTTGCAGTAGGTCACAGCACACAACAAAGACAGTCTTTGAGAATTCATCTCAGTTTCAACAAAGCTGCTATAATGAGCCCAATTATAATACCTGATGAGACGCTGTTACAGTATTCCATAATACACAAAAGACAATGTGGCAAAATGGAGTAGAGTGTTGTCCCAAAACAGCGCATAAGTTTCACAAAGGAAATCTTATGTTGACTGTGACGTCTAAGGGGGTGACATGAGAGTCATTCGCTGTGGTCAGGATACCCATTGAAACGCAAAATCATCCACGCTGGCCTTTCTTAAGGGTCAGTTTTTAAACAATCATCAACAATGTGACTAAATCACAGAAACCATGTAGCCCTTCTCAGCAGGGGTTCCCCAGAAGAACTCAGCCCAAACACTGCAAAGTACCCACTGTGCATGAGGGGCTGACCCTGCCCCGCAGGTGCAGTGGCCTAGCTTCGTGCCTTCTTTGGGAGAACAGAGGAAATAATCTCTCACATCATTTTCTCTAGGGCTTGGTTGCCTCGTAATAAAACCCAGTTTAAAGGCTGACCCACCCTAAATTGAAAATATGTACTCTGGATCAAACAGCTATAACTTTGCATTTCAAGTAAGGTGTTCTCATAAGAGAGGCTTTCTGAAGCTAAAAGCCTCACAAAGAACCAGAAACCAGAGGGGTGGTGTGCGGTGCGTTCATAGCATACTTTGTGCATCAGCTCACACTGATGCACCGAGATTCCTGGCATCCCAGGGACCCAATTGCAGATCCTCAGAGCCACACAGCACACTTAATCCACAGCAGGATGTCTCAGACTCCATCCACAACCATCATCTGTTAAACTGCCAAGCACATCTCATTACACAGAGATCCATTCAGCCCAAGGAAAATTCAGGAGTATGACTTCAGCTGAACTGCAAACAAATTCTGATTTCTTCTGTGGCTGGAGCTTTGTGAATAGTGCCAGGGTGTCCCACCTGTGGCCCACATGGCCACACGCTGATTTTGTGAGGACTTTGATTATCTGTGGTGTTGGGTATCATGAAAAGTGTACATGGCCCTTTTCTTGCTCATTAGTGTTTAATAGTGTTAGTGTATTTACCATGCTGCTCAAGACAACTCTTTTTCCAATGTGGGGCAGGAAAGAAGAGGCTGGAAGCCACAAGGAGTCTCTCTGTGCAGACCAGTAGCATCTGATCTTAATGTTTGTGTCAGACTCTGCTCACCAGCCACCACAACATCCAGTCTCCATCATTTCTAACAGATCCTTCACTTTCAACTGCAGGCACCAGTAGCAAAAAAGAACCTATTTTCCAGCTTCCCTTGCAGATAGATGCGACAACAAAAGCAGAAATGTCACACGAGACCAGGACAGGGGCTTGCTGCACCTTTTTCCTCACCTCTCCCCATTTTTTTGTCACAGGGTGAGACCAATGAAAATCAGCACCCATCTCGAATCAGGAAGCGAGTGAGTTTGGAGGGTGCATATCAGAAAGATGTGGCAGAAAGATAAACACCCTTTCTGCGCACCCCCCCCCCCGCCCACTCCAATACATGCCCCGGGCCTGCCAGCCTCTGGGTCCCTGCAATGTTAACAAGCCAGACACTTCTGCCACACCGGGCCTCTGTCACCTTGTTACACCAGTTCCCTATTTCAAGTGACAGAGCTTAAATCTAATTAATATAATTCACATGCAGTTTCTTATGTAGTAAAGCCAGGTAAATTAATTAACTAAGCCTAACTATTTGAACTATTTTGTAACATGTGAAACTTGAATCATAGCTGACCACCTCCTTCCACTGGCCAGCTCCTTAAGTTGGCCTAATTTTCACAGACTGGACATGTACCATGTGTAGGTACCAGTATAGCAGGCCTAGTATCTAATGTTGACCACCTGTGTGTATTGATCCATTTGTTACAGTCCCTTGGATGGTCACCTTACAGAGGTTCTGCTGTATTTAAAACAAAAATAAGTAGCACTTTATCCAAGTGGTAAACATATGGGAACACATTTTTTACTGGTTAAAAGTATATGCAATTTAAAAAGAAATTCAGATCAGCAATAAGAAAAACATTAGTACAGTGTGTATATAAATAAACATTAGTAGAATTTGTATCATCATAGGTGACTACTCTATGTCAACAGTTATACTGTTACCAACAGTAACAAACTGAGCCCAAAGGTGAATGGATGGCAGTCTCTGCACAGACACACGTGTCTTCATTATGTGCTTGGTGCCCTTCTTGTCTTTGTGTGACCCATTCAGTCTATTTCTACCCAGAGTGAATAACCCACTTCTGGGCCAAATGGAAGACACTGGCCTTTTAGCTTTCATGTAAGCAGACAAACATTTCAGAAAAATCCCAGGATAATAACAACTATTAACATGCTTTTGATGTCCAGTGAATCCTTTCATGTCTGATTTTTACTCTATCCTCTTGAAAAGACATTAAAATATTTTAAACAGACCTCGCAAAAGGATTGAAAGGATTAGACTGTATAGTGTTGCTCTGTAACGATGAGATTTTGTGTTTATTGTGAATATTTGGTCAACAATATTTTGTTTGGGGAAACATTCACATTAAATGTTTTACTAGGATTTCAGAGCTATCCAAGCTCTGCTATAGTGCTGGGCAGACCTTTGGGGAAACTGTTGAGACGCACGTCTTCTGGATAATCTCAGCATTATTCATTTAATACCTTGAAATCCTTATTCTGGCTTCATATGCAATACCTCAGTTGTGCCTCTATAAATTACTGGAATACGTTTTCACTCTGTTTACATAAGGCGCTGTGTACACGCCAAGCATAACTGGAATAATACGCCCATGTCTCCCCATCGGCTGCTGTAAACTCTCCCATTTTAAATGAACTGCAGTGGAGAAAGATATATTTTTCTGAAAAATATTTTAATCACTAATTCTGCCATTACAGATACACAGATGGTTCTGGACTTACGATGGTTCACCTTATCAATTTTTGACTTTATAGTGGTGTGAAAGCAACATGCATTCAGTAGAAACCATACCTCACCTGCTACAGCCATTCTGTTCCTCATTTTCAGCTCAGGGTTCAATAAATTACATGAAATAGTCAAGTCATTACAAAATAGGCTTTGCAGTAGATGCTTTTGCCAAAGTGTAGGCTACTGTGAATGTTGTGAACATGTTTAAGGTAGGTGAGGCTAAGCTGTGATTAGGTATTTAAATGCATTTTAGAATTGTAATGTTTTGATTTATGATGGATTTATCAGGATGCAGCCCCACGGTAAGTAGATGACACCTGTGGATCTGTTGAGCTGGCAAGATAAAGATAAAGATAAAGAGCTGTCACTTACCCCTGTGACATCCATAACCTTAATGGCTGCAAGCTGGCCTGTTTTGACATGACGACCCTGTAAGGAAAAAAAAAACAAAACAAGATTTATTTTGGGTTTTTTTGTGGAGACACAGTTTTACTTTATCACCCTCAGTAGAGTGCCATGGCAAACCTCCAACCCCTGGGCTTAGGCAATTCTCTTGCCTCAGCCTCCCGAGTAACTGGGACTATAGGCGTCTGCATAGTCCCACCACAATGCCTGGCTATTTTATTTTTTTGTTGCAGTTTGGCTGGGCTATTTTTTTGTTGTTGCAGTTTTGAACCTGCCACCCTCAGTATATGGGGCCAGCGCCCTACCCACTGAGCCACAAACGCCGCCCAGAAGATTTAGTTTTGACAATCAATATTAGCACCCAGTTCTGACAGTATGTTGATAAGGTAGCGACATGCACAAATCTTAAAGGTTCTATCCAGTGCTTACTTTATGAAGCTCCCCCCGCTCTCCATCCAGTGCTTACTTTATGAAGCTCCCCCC